CCTCAGAAGGGTAACGGCCAATACCCGTGATCCAACAGAAGGAAAAATGGGACCTAACTGGGAAGGGCCTTACAAAGTGATATCAATCGGGGGCGCTGAGTCATACAGATTAGAAGGCATGGATGGAAAACTTGTAATGCGACCATAGAATGTGATAAATCTAAAGAAATATTACTTTTGAAGTATTCTCTCTCTCAGTGCTTGCCAACGACAAAGATAAAGGGCAAGGCCCTGGGGACAGAGTTCAAGGGCTCCTGTCCCCGAAGCAAATACAGGAGTAAGCCTCCTGGAAGGGCAAGACCCTGGGGACAGAGTTCAAGGGCTCCTGTCCCCGAAGCAAACACAGGAGCAAGCCTCTTGAATGGGCAAGCCCCCGAAGACAGTTCAAAAAAAAAAGAAGAAAGGAAGAAAGAAAAAAAAAAACACTACTCTACGCAAAAAAGGAAAAAATACTCGTGCTTTATTTCAAGAAGAGGGGCTTTGCGTCCCCAAAGGCTACAAAAGAAAAAAGAGTACAATCAAAAAGAAAAAGGGGCTTTCATCTGGCCCCGGGCATCTCCACAATATCTGCCGAGGGCGAGTCAGCATAAAAAGGTTGAGAAGCTTCTGGAGCAGGCAGAAGGAGAGGTACTTCGGCAACAGAGAGACCTTGAGCAACATGAGGATCAGGGGCATGGTCCGGCGGGGCCTCTTTGGACAAGTCCACTATTACCGCCTCGGGCAGATCCGCCGAAACTTGCACCGGCGTTGGGATCTCGTCCTCGGCAGCAATCTCTGCTTCGGCCCGTTCCATATCCGCCGAGGGCACGTACTTGTGCATCTGGAAGAGCGGGGAGTCTGACGGGATTCCAGCAGACTGGAGCGCCTCGTCCCACCCTTTCTTGAAGAACTCCTTGCTGTTTTCCTCAAGAGCAGGGAACACGTCATCGGCGAACTCTTCTCGAAGTTGCTCCTTCGACTTCCTCTTCAGTGCCTCGGCCCTAATCCTGTCCAGCTCCTGGGTCAGAGCCAGACAGCTTTCCTCTGAGCCAACCGCCCTCTCCTCCGCCGCAGAGAGCCGCCGCGTCTGCTCGGTGATCCTCCCCTCAGCATCGGCAAGGGCAGCACTTAGCTTTTCAGCGCCAACCTTAGCCAACTCGGCATCCTTGAGGAGTTGTTCGATTTGAGCAGCCTGCCCCGCCAGGGTAGAATCCCTGGCAGCTACGTCCTCCATAGCTCTGGCGAAGGCCCCCTCCGCTTCTTCCTTCTGCTCTCGGACCCGCTGGAGGTCCATCCTAGACCCATGGTACCGCGCAGCTATTATGGAGATCTGTTGGGTGGCCTGCAAAGAAGGGAAAAGGCGTGTCACAAAAATGGAAAGCGAGAGAGAAGAAACCGAAGCAAAAATGAACTTACCACCAGGGAATTCTGGATGATAGAGCGAAACAACACGTTCGTTGATCGCCCCCTGTGAGCCTCCATGTCGGCCTCGAAATGCAGCGTCTCACTCACTGCATTGGCGACATGGGGGTCCAGCAAAATGGAGTCATCGACCCTGATCACTCGGTTCATGTGATCGGTGGCTCGGGGATTCCACTCCGCGGCTTCCACTGTCGGCGGAGGGGAAGGGGGAGTCTGCTGCTGCCGTTGTTGCTGTTGTCGTTGCTGTTGCTGTTGCTGTTGTTGCGGAGGAGCAGGGGGTAACCCACAGCCTCTCCCGCTTTGCTGCTGAGCGGAAGATGCCCTGGATCCCCTACCGAGGCCATCATGCCTATGTTTGACCCTTTTCTCCTCCTCTACCTGAGGATCCCGGTCACGCACTTGACCCCGACTGAGAACTCTTGAGGATAGGGTGGAACTGGTCCCTGCAGATGGGGCACCGCCGGTCGATCCTCGTCCCCTCCCGGCAGCGAGGGCTTGCCTCTGCCTCAGGAACCCTAGGTCAATACGAGGCGTGCTGGACATCGCGACCTCGAGGGCGTCCTCGGCGTCTAGAAATTGTAGGATTTGGAAGTCCGGCCACAAATCTCCGCCCGAAGTCCCCACCTCGGCATCCGAAGGAACAAAGTCCTCTCTGACCCCGAGCTCTTCAACTTCTCCCTCTACTTCTGCCTCCGAAGCCCGATCAGGGTCTTCTTCCAAGTTTTTCTCGACCTCTTGCCTCGCCGCCTGATCGAAGAGTTCAGACCACCGCGAAGGCTCAAAAGGCTGAGAAAGCTGTGAAAATTTCTTATACCCGGGGGTGTAATTCAGCAGGATGTGGGCAGCCCGGCCGAACCCGTTGTCACCAGTAAATCTCCAAACCGTGACTAGGTCGGCAAAGTTCACCAGCGACCGAGGGGGAGGAGCTGTTTCCCGAGCAGGGACATCTGCACAAACAAAAAAGTAGTCATGAACATGGGAAATCTGGAGAACAAAATAATAAACCCGAAGGAACCGACGTACTTGTCGTTCTCCATTCCAAAGGGCATAACAAGCCGTTATACTCGGGACCAACACCTCTCTGCCAAGATCCCTTGAAGATAAGAATATCGTCCTTGTACCCCTTGTCCGAGTCGGGAAGATGAGTTACAAGGTACATGGAGGGGTCCCTGGCTTTGAGGTAGAAGTGTTGTTGAGGCATGACTCTCAAGAGGGAATAACAAAAAAGGAGATCGTTCAGCCCAATATTTATCCCGAGACGCCTATTGAGCTCTAAGACCCCCATAATTATTCTGAAGACATTAAGGCAACACTGCCCGGGGAAGAGGTGGAAGTGAGAGAGGAACTGGAGAAGTAAAGGGGTAAAGGAAACCTAATTCCGCCTCTATTATGGCCTTAGTATAAAAGGGCATAGCATCCTCGGCCCCGAGGGTAGGAGAGTGCACCACCGGGTCATAATCCTCTATGTCTACGTACGGGGGAATGTTGTACTTGACCTTAAACCTATTAATCTGCTCACCACCCTTTACTTTATACTTCCCCGACCCCGAAGAACCAGCCTGAGGATTCTCGGGAGCAGGGCGACGACGAGGCATCTCTAAGAAAGTGAGAAAGTGGAGGGTGTTTTTCCTTAAAAATCCCTGAGGAAGCTTCCCGAGGATTAGTCGCTAAGTATCAACCGGAGACACCTCCAGTCATCGAAAAACAAAAAGGGATAGGAGGAAGAGAAGAGGAAAGATACTAGGACTCACCCGAATGTCAAACGGAGTTTTTTCTGGAAAACTTTAGGCGACTCCTTCCAGAAAGTTCAGAAGCAACGATGGGTCTGCTGGCCTTAAGACTTTAAGGAAAAATGGGCAGTTGACAATGGGGAAGGAAAGAGATCTCCGGCGAAGATTCAGGAAAAGGCTCTCTTGAGGAAGTTCGGAATGGCGAAACAAGAAAATGGAAGAGGAACCCCATTTATATAGTGGCAGTTTCATCATTGGGCGCGAAACACGAAAAGGCGCATTTAATGCGCATGACATCCTAAGCAGGGGAAAGCGGCTCGAGGCAATGATGAAGCAGTTGTGGTTGTTGGAAAACCCTTCGTCTCCTTACGACGCGTGCCCTCGGTGTCAGAAGATCGAAGGCTGGGGGCAGTTGATGGGACTTTTCTGAAAAACTCCATGATGAAGACACGTGTCCTCGGTATTACCAAAACACTGTTGCTAAGATCAAGCACCATCGGCTCACAAAGGTCCCTCGCTCCCGAGGTACTCGTCATATGGGATCATGGCATTCAGTACATTTTACAACCGACACGTAGCCTCGGTCTGATATGGTGCCTCGGTCGGTATACCTCCCTCGGTTCCGAGATGTGCCTTTTCTCGGTGCCGAGAGGTACCCCGTCCTGGACGCCTCCTCTGCTCCAGAATAAGCTATTGACGTACAGGTCATTAGCCTAGGCTAGTCTAGGCTATTCATCATGACCTCGTCTTACACAATTGGTGTCAGAACGTACAGGAATGCAGGGGCCACAGCCAATGGGGGATGGACGCGTGGCATATGATGTCACATCAAAGACAGAAAAACCGCATGCCGTTGCTGACACGCGACTTGGGAAAACAAACGATTAATTACACCATTCCCTTGACGAGACTGCATTCAATGCGGTAAGGCTCAGAAATGAAAGACAATAAATGTTCCTAATATAGAGCATTTATTGTATCCTCCCCGAGAGGAGTTCATTGTACCGTCGGCATCCCGATGACGCAGCATTGATTGCTCAGGACCCCGAGCATTTAAGAAGAGAAGACATTCCTCATCAGAATCAGTGCGCACACTGCCTGTACCTAATGATCACCTACTGACTACACTGACAGCAATCATGAGCTTTTGAGGTATAAATACTCCTCACAAAAGGCAAGACGATATGCAACAAAAAACTCTTTACTACGAGAGATACTCAGTGCTTTCTTCTTCCTCTCCCTTTCAAAAGCTGACTTGATCGTCGGAGGGGATAAGCCGGAAAACACTCCGGCGCCCTAGTAACTTGTTCTCCTTTGTTTCAGGAACCTTTTCCCAGCCTTACTGGATCATCCCTTCAGTTCACGAGGGTCTCCCGTTACCGTTCCAGGTCACCACCTGATCTCACAGGCTGTCCCAAGCAGCGTGGTTGGTCACTCAGTTGACTCACTCGAGTTCACCAAGAGGGAGATCTGTTCTCGTTTTTTATATTGTGCAAGATCCTGCACACACAAGATGTATTCCAATGTGTATGGCCTTCTGGAGAAGAAGGTTTTCCCTTTGGGGCTACCTGAAGCACGGGGTAAGTTGTATCGTGGGTCTTCCAATGGTTGGTTGATTGCAGTTGAGGGAGGTTGAGGATTGAATCTCCTCAATCCATTTACGAGGTGTGAAATTGATCTTCCTCCACTATAAACTTTTCCAAATGTAAGGGAGTATTAGGCGGGGAGGCCTGATGAAGAATATACTATTGTTCGACCAGAAGGAAATCCAAGTACTGTTTATCTTGGCAGGACGTACATGCAAGACCACTTCATAAGTAAAGTTGTTCTCTCGTCTGGAAATTTGAGCATCCTAATGATTTTATGGCCATGGCTATCTGCGGAGAATTCAATAGATTAACTTTCTGCAAACATGGTGATGATGGATGGACATCTGTCTCCTCAACGTTGAAATGCTTCTCGGATATTTTGTTCTATGAGGGAAAATTCTATGCTGTAACTTTCATTGGTAAGCTTGTCGTTTGTGATGCTGATTGCTTGCCAACTGTTGTAGATATCCAGGTAAAGCAGCCAAAACTTACTCCTAGTTTTAGGTTATACCATGTTGAGACTGCTGGAGGGTTAGTGCTAGTGGAAAGGTGTTATAAGGGAAGAGGTCTTGATCTTCTGGATTACGGAGAGGTTTCCCACTACAGAACAATTGGATTCAAGATATATAAGTTGGATACTAGAAAAAATAAGGTCTGAGCTTAAGAGTTTGGGCAATGATATCTTGTTCTTGGGATATAATTCCTCGTTTTTAGTTCTGTCGAAAAAAATTCAGAATTAAAAGGCAATTGTATTTATTACACAGATAATAGGGATAAACATCACTTTTGGGGCGGTACAGGTGGTTTTGACATGGAAGACGGAAGTACCAAGCAATTGCCAGGTTATACAGGAGAATCAATACTGGTTTCGCCTCCCCCAGCCTGGGTGGTGCCCAATTCTCGTTAGTTTTTTTTTTTATCAGAATTTATTCAGCTGACTTAAATCTGTTTTTCTTCTTTATGCCTTGCTGTATCTCTCTGAATAATTTATTTAATTTTATTTTGTTTATGACTACTTTTCATTCTTGTTCACAATTATGTATTTCAGTGGTTTAAAAATTATCAGTCTATTGGACAAGTCTCCGATATCTTGTTCCAACGAAACTGTATGTGCTTTTGTTGATTGTATAATAGGTATAGTGGGGCATATGGGATGAATAATCTATTTGTTTCTGACCAAGAGTACCATAGTTTGGCCTCAACTCCCCCATAATATTATTGCTATGGCCTTATGGGTACCTATAATACGTTAATTATCAGCATAGCTATGACAATCATGCAATGGGAAAAAAATAAAACAGAGCAAGAGAAAGAGAGATAGAGAGAGAGAGAGAGAGAGAGGGAGGCTTAACTGGATGCAAATGTGTAGTTGGAGTTGAAAAAATTTGGGTGAATAAGGCAGAGAGACTGGCAGGCTCTTTCTATTTATGGAGAGATTTAATGCCTACAGCATCCAAGAGACTGTCTTCTGATTCTCATTCAAGAGAAAGGTCTACATTGCCAATGCTTCCACCTGCTGGAGTTCTAAACTCATAGTTATTCTGACAGCAGCTCTGCCTACCATGCCACTGGTCCATTGGTAGGCTTCAGTGCAACAATGCCTAAACTAGTTATTGCATTTTGTTCTCGGTCCATATTAAATACGAGTTCAGGCGCAGGAGGAACTAGTGCTTCTTGCTCACATGCCATCTTTTCTTCCCAACAACAGCTTTGGTGACACCATAGCCACAAAGAGTTTATCATGCTGAATTGCTGATCTGGTGGCTTCTAAACACTTTTTTCGGAATGCTATTCTATTCGACTGCAAATAGTGATTATGGACCGTCCAATGATGCCATCATATGGAAGGTATTGTGTCTTCTGTGCTCAACAATTTATTACTCTTTTTCCAAGCATCTTCATTTGCATCCACCTCTTCAGATATTTTAAGGTAAAAGCATCTATTGTGCTCTAACAATGGAATATTGAAAGAGATAGTGTTCATTGAGTCCCTTCCTGCAGAAACATTAAGAGCAGGATCAATCTGGATTTGTCTGCTACATAACATCTCTCTCACTGGAAACAACTAAAAACTCTAGTATCAGAAATTTTCTTCAGGCATTTAACTCATATTGTCCAAAGTTGTCTCCATATATCTTTTATCTCTAAATTTCCTCATCGTAGCTAGTGCCAGCTTCTCCCATTTGACTCTTTCTCGATTCTGCTAAGATGGAACTTTTCTTTCTTTCTTTCTTTAATATCTTCCAACTTCTGTGGTGGGGCTGAAGGCCAGAACGTGATTACATAGAAGCTTCGGTTCACCTGCTTCTGCCTGTGAGACTAACTATCCCCTTGAGAGTGCTTTGAAAGGTGGCAAGACCTCTGGAGAGGCTACAGTTAGCTAGCAAATCAGGATGGAAGTTGTCTTTAATTCTCAGGTGATTTCTGACCTTTGACCTCTTTTGTGCCTTGAAACACTGCCCAAATCTTTGCCAGCGTAGACCATCACCTAGCTATTCTCCTAAGAAATCTTTTAGCCAAGGATTGGTACAACATAGAGAACTTGGTATGTGTTGGCTGTTGCCAAAACAGCTAATCCTTCTCATTTGTTTGAGGGAGTGGTATCTCAGTTTTAATTTCAGCTTCTTGAGTTTTTAATCTGATTCAGCTTTCTCTACCTTCCAAGTCCTAGTATATCATCTTTGCTTTTATGAAACAAGTCGAATACAAGAAAGAATGGCTAGCCAAGGATGATTCTTAAGCGTTGACTCTTCTCCCTTAATCAATTCCATGGTTATTACAATTCACTCAACTCTTGACGACCCATGATTTGGGTACATCAATCCCGAATGAGGTGGGTTCGTGATCCAGATCACCAAAATGGACTACCCCAAATTGTAATACCAACCCTAAATCAATTTGTTTTAGATCATGTAGCACAAATATAAAATATATATTAATTAACTACATGTATGTAGATTTATAATTATATATTATTTTAGATAATAGAAAATCAACAACAACTATAAGATAAATAGTAACGGATTTAGTGTTTATGGAGGTTTTGTAATATATAATGTTGTATAATAGTAAAAATGATTTACATAAGAGTTCTAAAACGAATTGTGACCCAAAATACTATACCAATTAAACCACCTCCATCGTACCGCATACCTAAAAAAGTGTCGTACCATATACCCGTATCTATACCACATACCAAAGCGACCCACGATCCAAGTAACATTGATCAATTCTCCATTTGACTTTCAATTTGAACCATCTTCGTTGCCATAAATGTTTTGCCAAGTCCCTGAACTATTTTACTTATTGTTCAGTTCACTGATGAGGAGATACTTAACTTTTGTTGCTTTGCAGACTCCTGAATCAAGGAGGAAGGCCTTATCTTCAGCATCCAACACTAACTGTGTTCTGCTACCAAAACTGCACTAACAGCTTTGAAATCCTTAAACCCATGCCCAACTGCCTTCTTTCTTGTTGCCACTAAAGCTTTGGATTGAATTGTGATTAATCTAAATCAAATTAAAAAAATTTGATTCGATGAATTTTATTTTCATAGTCTAAATTTGCATTCATTAAGAAGAAGAAGAAGAAAATAGAGAGAAATTGACTTACCAGAAGATCAAATGATGAGAATTTAGTGTTTTGCTATTCTTTACATCTTTTGGGTTCAATTGTGGAAATGATATCTCTTCACTGCTTCATTCGGTAATCCTCTACCAAACTCACTTTGTGGGCTATATTTCCATCTAAACACTGGAAGCCTCTCATTGTAAATGTGTTGATTGATAGAATAAATCGGTGGATATTTTGATTTCTTGATTGTGTGCTCGGTTGGAAATGATCTAATTTTTACACAAAAAATGGCAAGAACGGTCAATTTGTTGTGGTTTGTGGTCATTGGTCATCTTTCCCAACACGCTCCTCAAGATTCACAAGAGAGACGCTTTAGGCATGAGAAAGTTAATAATCTTATGTCGTAAATTAGACATGTGGTTGGCTGAGGCAATGGTCATGTCTTTAATTCTTCACCAAGGCTCCGGAGAGTCGGTGATGTGATTGCTGCTTTTAATACAAAGGCGATGAAATTTTTCACAAGAATGATAATATAGTATAGAAGTTACACTAGTTAAAATGTCTTCCTATGGAACTTCGTCAAGCATAAGTGTTCCAAGGGTGGAGGAAGAACCTGTGATTGGATTTGATGATGAGGCAATTCAAATTATAGAGCGGCTATGTGGAGTTAAGAGGCAGCTAGAAGTTGTGTCGATTGTTGGCATGGCTGGACTGGGCAAAATAACAATGGCTAGAAAATTGTGCAACGATCCTTTCGTTGTGTATCACTTCTACATTCGTGGCTGGACCAATGTATGTCAAGTGTATACAAGCAGAGATTTGTTGATAGGCATTTTTTCCTTCCACTTTCAACGTTAAAGAAGATGATGAGACTCTTCAGAGGCCAGCTGTAGCGTTAGGTGGAGAGCTGTGCAGGAGCTTATAGCGTAAGAGATATTTGATTGTCATGGATGGATGACATATGGGATATTGGGGCCTGGAATGGTTTGAATAGAGATTTCCCAAACGATAACAATGGAAGTAAAGTTATTTTTACTAGTCGGCTCACAGATGTGGCTTTGCAAGCTGAACCTTACAACCCTCCCCATTGTTTACGCTTTCTAAATCAGCAGGAAAGTTTGGATTTGTTACAGCAGAAGGTATTTCAGAGAGAAAGCCCCCTTCCAGAGCTTTTGGAAGTAGGATTTCAAATTGCCAAAAAATGTCATGGACTCCCACTCGCAATTGTTGTAGTGGCTGGACTTCTCTCAAAGACAGAAAGAACAGTAATCTGGTGGAGGCAAGTTGCCTCAAGCGTAAGTCGTACATTGTTAGTGACCCAAAGAAATACATGGACACACTTGCACCGAGTTACAATCACTTGCCCCACCACTTGAAAGCATGTTTTCTTTATTTTGGAACATTCCCCGAAGATTATCATATCACTGTATGGAAGATGATTTGGTTGTGGGTTGCTGAGGGATTTAGACAGGAAATTGGGCAAAAGAGCTTGGAGGATGTAGCGGAGGGATACTTGGCAGATCTTGTTGATAGAAATTTAGTATTAGTCACCGAAAGGAGGTTCAATGGTGGAATCAAAGCATGCCATATCCATGATCTGTTGCGTGATTTATGCTTGACCAAAGCTAAGGAAGATGATTTCTTGCGACAAGTTTCTTCTCGGTCAAGTTCTGCTACAAATAAGTGCCACCGCATATGCATTCATTCAGACATTTTCAATTATTTAAGCACCAATCCTTTGGGCTATCACATCCGCTCTTTTTTGTGTTTTGCCTCCGAATCAAATCCATTTGTTTTGGCGAATAAATTAACTCTTTATCAATCCTTCCAACTTCTTAGGGTGCTGGAGTTGTTGTCCATCCTATGCCCTTCTTTCCCCCGGAAATAGTATGGTGGCTAATTCATTTGAGATACTTGGCGCTGTGGTTTGAAAAAGGATCTCTCCCAAACTCTATATTTGACCTGTATAACTTTTAATTCCTCGTAGTAAAATCAATACATATTAATGTACCAAATGCTGTTTGGAAGATGGTTAAGTTGAGACATCTTTATATCAGATCAGGGGAAAATCTTATTGAAGACCCTTTTTTGGAGGGAACACTGACGGGTGATGGTTGTTCCTCGGTATTGGACAACCTCCAAACCATCTCACAAATACGCCCTTCTAAGTCTTGCCAGGATGTCTTGGCAAGGACTCCCAATCTTAGAAAGCTGAGAATTTGTGGAAGTTTTACAAGAGAGTTGGGATACAAGAGAGTTGGGAAGTTTTACAAGGACTCCCAATGTTTGAAGCATCTTGAAACATTAAAGTTATTAAGTGTGGGTTTCAATCTAAGAACCAACAGCCATTTGTCGTCTTGCATGTTCCCTCCAAATCTTAAAAGGCTTTACTTTATCGTTTATGGAGAGTAGGTAGAAAGAGTGAGGTTCTAAAATTAGTATATCAACAATGAAAAATGACCAGTGCTCACTTTCCAAACCTTGAACATTTAGTGGTGGTTTAGAGCCTTCAAGGTTTAGCGTTTCTAATTGTGTGAGCAACTCGAGGAAAGCCCGTGCATCTAAATTCTTGGATACCCTCACACGAGAGAAGATTACAAAACAGTTAAGTTTTCCTAGGCACCCTTGGGGCAAATTCCACATGGAAAATCCAAGTGGCATTGAGCTTTGCTGAATGAATGAAGCAAGAACAAGACTATGTATCCCAAATCAAAGAGGATCATTGGATCAGTGGGTTCCATTTAAAAAAGTTAATGGGACTTATTCATCCAATGGTCCCCCTTCATTTGTGATAGAGATTTGGAATAAAAATTTAGAAAACATAGTATTTTCCATGAAGCAATTGGCTCGGAATCCTTACCAATTTCCATCATAGGGATCTCGGGGGAGTTCAAGACTTGTGTTGAGCTCTGCTGAATCAAGGTATAAATGTTTTTTTTTTTTTTTGATCAGAAGGTATAAATGTTGAATCTCATGCATTTTTACTCGTATGTTTTTTTTCTTTTTTCCTTTTAAATTTTTACACAAACTCAATCGAGTGGAATGATTCATCTGATCCATAATGGTACAAAATTCCCAAGCTTTCTACTTGATGAGAACCCTTACGTGGTTGGTGTCAAACCCTTTTGCCTCTTGTTTGTTACTTTTTTTTTCTTTTTTCTTTTTTTTTTTTTTTCCATTTTGTTGTCTATCCTAATCATATCTTGCCTCATTGGAATCGAATGATATGTTTGGCTTTTTTCTTTTTGTTCTATGTTATCTTGGAATACTAAAACCTGTGGGCGTGTGATGACAATATATTTTGCTAAACCATGAGCTATCAAATCTTTTTTACAATTTTGTTCAAAAGGAAATAGTGATAGTTTAGAGAAACGTTATGAAGTCATTTTTCTCCTCCTTTTTGTAATCAAACCCTCTCGATATGTAGATTCTACATTTCTATATTAAAAGCAGCATAGCTCCAGTATTGCACCAGGAAAAAAAAGAGAGAGAGTAAAAAAGAGTATACGTTTTGTTCTTTTCTCAAATGAGAATAGTAAGTTCTTTGACCTCCTGTGCTTATCATGCATTGCTGAAAACAGAGTACACCGAAAAGAATCACAAAAGAGAGCTAAAATTTCGAATCCAGAGACAGATGGGAAGAATTCAGAGCATGTCATCCCAACTTGCTGTCTACCCTTCACCATAATGAGATAGGCAAGTTGAGCAGATGAATTTTGAATTTCTATATTCTCTTGTCTTTTTGTATTTTTATATTTTCTTAATTTTACAGTATTTTGAAAGTAGATTTAATTCGAGTTTTGTTGTTGAAACACCAAATTCGGGTTAAAATTTTAGTTCAATTCATTTTTGTTATTCGGGTTGGATGCCAAAAATTGGAAAATCCTAACTCAATTATTGTTAAAATTTAAATTGGGTTATAATTTTTTCTCTAAATCTGACCCAAACACTAAAAATTTTTATCCAGCAAAAACAAGTGCAGGTGAGGTTTAGTCAAAAATTGCATGCCCTCAGAAGAACCTTCCCAGAAAGTGGCCTAAAGAACAGAGAGACTTGAGTTCATTTTACCTGGACCATTTTTTGTGGTACTGATGTGATGTCTTTGAACAAGATTCATCAATTTTGGTCTTGTTGGAGTTTGTGTGTTTCGACTTTTGTTTTTTTGAATTTAATAATAAGACAATACGACAGCAGTGTCATTTCACTGGTACCAAGAATAAAATATAGGAAATGCAGAGCTCAAGAGGAGCCAAAATAGAAAGTTGTTCAATCAATTCATTTCACTTGGACCCCTAGAATATATATCATCATTTTATATTACAAGAAAAAAAAACCTCATCCACTTGGACAAGGAAAAGTGGGTTTAAAGAAAAAGGAATTGAGAAAATTACAGGGTTGTTTGGTTTGCGTTTTAAAAAATAGTATTTGAAAATAGATTTTGAGAAGAGTTTTAAGAAAGTATTTTTAAAAATTTTTAGATTACAAAACTTATTTGATTATATATTTTTGAAAATAATTTTAAAGAATAAAAACTATAAAATTTGTTTGGACAATAATTTACAATTCTCACCAGTCTTCAACTCTTTCTCTCTTTCACTGTGCATCAAAACTACCACCACCATCGTCTCTTGAACTTTCACTGTGCATCAAGACTACAACCACCACTAACCCAAAACCATCACCAACCGACAATCACCCAAAACCTACAACCACCACCCGAAATCCATAACTACCTCTGAAACCGAGAACCACCCAAAAGCCCCATCACCACCGAAACCGAAAATCACCCAAAACCCACAACCACCACCCAAAACGTTCAGATCTGTGTTTAATAAAAAAAAATTAGATCTATGTTTGATAAAAAAAAAAATCAGATCTGTGTTAATATTATAATTCTTTATGGTGGTTACAATGACAGTATATATATATATATACTGTCATTGATATGTGTTTTCGATCAGATCAGATCAAAAAAAAAAATCAAATATGTGTTTTCATCGATTAAACCAGATTTGAACCAATCGTCGGAGAGCTCCAGTATCTATGGGTGTGTTTTGCCAGAGAAGACGCAGTCACCGCAGAAGACTTTTGTCTCAGAGAGTCTGTGGAGAGAGAGAGAAAGACGGAGAGAGTAATGAGATCTGGGAGGACAAAGGCAAAAGAAAAAAAAAGCTTTTATACTATGACTTGTTTTTGCTTCTAAGAGAACTCGAAAAGGGGATCTCATTAAAGAGTAAATCATCTTTGTGCTTTCAAAATTTTGGCAAAAAAGCTTGAAAACAAGCTGGACTTGTTTTCTAGTTTTATGTTCTAATTCTCTATTTTTTCTTAAAATTGGAAAACAAAATCACAAACCAAACAGATTTTGAAATTTTTTTGAGATTTGAGAACAAAAAGCGGTATTTAAGAATCAAATCAAACATGACCACAATTACCCCTGCCTGTTGTTTTTTGTATTTTCACCGCATCCCTCCTTTTTGTAAAAAAAAAAAAATTACATTGAACTCATTAATGTATAACTACTGTTTATCGATTCTCCCATTCAATCAAAATTTAATCTAGTTTATTAACTTAATTACCATTTTATCCTTAAGTGGGAGAAAATAATTTTTCGTCATCAAAGGGTTTTAGTATAATTTAGAAAATAGGAAGGGGTACAATGAAAATGTTAGCAACATCAAGGGGTTTCATTGTAATTAGTCCAAAGGAATAAGACCTTGATGGACCCATACAAGGTTGGTTTTTGTCCACGAACAAGCCGTACCTACTCCAGTAGCCTCGAAGCTTTCCTTTCCTTTATCCACCCTACACCCACCCCCCCTCCCCCAAAAAAAAAAATAGAAAAAGTCATTTTTCGTGAAAATGTCATGCAAGACGTCATGACGGTGGCAAAATAGCATCACCTTGTTCGTCATGTTCATTTGGTTGTCCCTTGATGCATGTGAAGAAGAAACAATGAGTTGTGGACTCTTTCCATATTAGTATTAGTATTAGTATGGGTCAGTCAAAATGGAACCTTTTCTATTCCAAAGAGTTTTAGTCCCTTAGCCCTATCCACTTTGACCATTATTAGTTTTTTGGGGCAGTGGGAAACCTCTAGATTCATGTTTCTTAATTGTTTGTTTCTATTTTATTTATTAGAAAATTATAATATTATAACTAATCATTATTCAAAACAAACTAAAAGATAACATAGCTTGTCATGTTATCGTTAAATATGAATTTCCTTCCCAATGAATTTGTTTAATTGAAATTATATGACAATTATTTAATTATTAATTTTTTTCTTTTACTCATCTGTTTAACTGAAATTAAGTAAAATTTGCAAGCTTCTTTTTACTTGATGTTGGTGATATTTGGATTAAGGATTTTTTTTAGTATATATGAGGTATGCGGGCCTGGTAGATTTAGTTGAGAAAAAATGAGAGTTTAATCTTAAATATTCAATTTACAAGTTATTTATGTCATTTCAAACATTACACAATTAATGAATAGATCAAACTAGTGACTTATTATTTTACATAATAAAATATATATATTTAAATAAATTTATAATAATATAATCTGATTTGATTCTCATCCCAAGGCGGGGGGGAGCCATAATGGGGCACAATGATAATTGGGTAATTGAACTTGGGAAAAACTGTGACATTTAAACTTTGAAGGTGATATGACCCAGAACCCATCTACAAACAAGTTTTATTTGTTATTGGTTAGGAGAAGTCTACGTAATAAAATAAAATTAAATAAAATATCAGTATCGTACTTTTATTTATAATTTGTATGAATATTTTTATAGTAATTATTTTTACAATTAATTCTAACACTTTTGTTGTGATAATGTAAGATCGATTGATCATAAATTATTACAAAAATAATTATCATAAAAATGATAATAAGACTCACTTTTTAAGTTAATAATTAATTAATTAATCTCATAGCCATTTAATAAATGAAAAAGAACATGGCAGTAATCCGAGGATAGCACGGAGGAGGAGGAGGTATATTCGGTGGATAACTTTTGAAGCACAATAATAATAAAGTGATTATTTATGTCAGTCGACATGAAAAACTGACACTTTACGAAAACCACAAAAACAAAGGACTATCTGACGTGTAAACCAAATCCTATCTTAAGAAAAGTTACAATCCTCTACGAAACCACTCTTACTTTCACTGCTCAACACACACACTCACACACACACACACACTCAAACCTTTGTAATTTAATCCTAAAAACAAGACGACACGACAAAAAACACAACACTTTATTGGCAATAATAGATCAGATATTTAAAGTACTACAATAGTATTCAATTAAGAAAATACTGTATAATTTAATAATCATTTACTCTAACTGTCCAAATTACTAGTATTAGAGATGATTTAATTCTGACCACTCAGTCTCCGGAGGTCCACTGTCGCACATCAACATGGCTTTATACTATTGGCTAATAAAATAGCCACACAATAAGAGGAGAGTAGAGGATTTACGTGGGCGTCAAGCCGACTGAGAACCCACACCAGTCAACGATTCAACAAAAGACCGTCGATCTTCACATTTTCACAGCCGACTTTCACTTCCGTCCAAAGCAGATGATGCAAGCAGTGACATATCAACCACACGGGGGGGGTCCTACCCACACGTGTCACACCCACATTAGACAGTCGACTCATCTCATCTCATCTCATTTACTGGCTGCGGTCAGTCTAGCACAACCCCAGGACCCACCTTTCCCTTCTTACCTAAGTAATAGGCTCTCTCTCTCTCTCTCTCTCACACACACACACAGTAAGCACGTTGTAATTCTAGATACGACTGGTCTAATCCACCACGTGTCAATTTAACTGTTTTGGGCTCTATATATATGCTCCATTCTCATCTTGGTTCTTCGTTTCAGGTTGAATTGGGGCAATTGAACAGAGAAAAAGAATCTGATCAAAAGAAAAACAGAGAAAAAGGAAGTGCAGAGAAAGAGAAACAGAGTGGTTAAGAGGAACCCGGAAAGAAAAAGAAGAGGGTGAAAGAAGGAGGGTGAAGGGTTTTAGTAAGAGAGTGTGTGTTTTGTGAATGAAGAGTGGTCAAAATTTGGAATTGCCTGCGGGATTCAGATTCCATCCGACGGATGAGGAGCTGGTGATGCATTATCTGTGCCCGAAATGCGCTGCGAAGAGTATTTCTGTTCCAATTATAGCTGAGATTGATCTTTACAAGTTTGATCCATGGCAGCTTCCTGGTAAGCCATTTATTCATCAGTTCAATACCCACCCCTTCTCTCTCTGAACTCGACCGATCCTAGAAGCACAATTTCCTGTGTTATTCAAGAACAATTTTTAGAACTTGCTTTTTACGGTTTTTTTGATATTTTTTTCCGATGTATTTTGAGTGATTAGAGAAGAGTTAAAATATAGAAAACTTACCATCAATTTTTTTTTTTCATTTATTGTGATTAAATATTGGAATTTTTTTTTAAATTTGGAGATCTGGGTCGAAAGAAATTGTGATATATTCTGAGTTATCAGAAAAGTTAAAAATGAAATTTTTTTGAAATTTATTCTGAATCACCGATCTTTACTCATTTTTTGTGATTATAAATTGGGATATTTTTATATTAGTAGATATGGTATTTGATTCTTGAAATTGAATGCAGGTATGGCTCTTTACGGTGAAAAAGAGTGGTACTTTTTTTCTCCAAGGGACCGGAAGTACCCAAACGGTTCACGGCCGAACCGGGCCGCCGGAACCGGATACTGGAAAGCGACCGGAGCTGATAGGCCAATTGGGAAGCCGAAAGCTGTCGGAATAAAGAAGGCACTGGTGTTCTACGCCGGTAAAGCACCTAGAGGAGTGAAAACCAATTGGATAATGCACGAGTATCGCCTAGCTAACGTGGATAGGTCCGCCGGCAAGAGAACCAATTTGAGGGTACTTACTCTCTCTCTCTTTCTCTCTCTCATTCATCCTTGGGACCAAACCCCTTTGCCTTACCCAATTTCATGCCATACCAAAACAATTAAAAAAATTTGTGATTTAATTGGCTCAACTTTACAAAATAATGTTCAAAAAAGTTAGGATTGCTCACAGGATATTGGAATTGGAAAGTACTTGTCATAAGAAAATGTAATTCTTAGCGTAAAGAAAAGTTTGTGACATGTAACCTTTGACCTAAACATTGTTCTCATATTTTTATTGCAGCTCGATGATTGGGTATTATGTCGGATATATAACAAGAAAGGTACCCTCGAGAAGCACTACAGTGGCGATCAAAATATATCGAAATTCTCAGAGATAGAAGAAGAAGAACAAAAGCCGAAGATCATGTCATTTGCTCATAATGGAGTAACATTACTGCCTCCACCACCACCACCAACCAACATTCCCCAACAGATGATGAATGACTACTTGCATTTTGACACGTCGGAGTCAACACCAAGGTTACACACGGACTCGAGTGGATCCGAGCACGTGGTGTCGCCGGAATTCACGTGCGAAGTTCAGAGTGAGCCCAAATGGTGGAGTGAGTTGGAGAATACCCTCGATTTCCCGCTCAATTACATGGATGGGTTTGAAGATAACTCTTTTGCTTCAAGAATGCAATACACTGACCACCTGTGGCCAATGCAGGACATGTTCATGAACTTGCAGAAGCCCTTCTAACCCATGGATCAAATCTACTTGTCCCTATACCCATGAGGTGTCATTAGTCTTAGCAACTTGAAAAATAGTACTAGTCAAGTATGATGGCATATTTACAGACCAAAAAAAAGGTCTAATGGGTTGGATCACATGAGCCAAATGGGCGTAGGCAGAGATAGTCTGATGGTTTGATGGGCTGATCACTCTGATGGTGGTGCATAGCTGGAGCTGCAAGACTTGGTGAGGGATAAAAGGGTTGATAGATTGATGTGGCCTATGTTAGTATATATATATATATATATATATATCATGTAGGACATTCTTATATTCTTTGGAATGTAGGAAATTGAGTTGCTTTTAGTATGAGGGGTATTTTTTAAAGAACTATTGTTTGTTCAGCACACCGGTTTGAACTCGAAAATCGTTACTGTCAAAACAATTGGTTACTCTCTTACACATCATCGTAATGGGTGTAATGTTTTTTAATTTTCAAAGAGAAAATGAAACAAGCTGCATTCTGATGTTGAGAAGAAAAACAAAAACAAAAATAAAAACAAAAACACAATTGTTTATGTATATGTGATGAGCTGCAAATATTAATATGACAGAAAACTAATAAGTTATCAGTATCCCCTGTTATTTGGGTTAGGACCAATGGCGATTTTCTGCCTTGGGGTTTAAACAATTAAAAACTGTTTCCTCTTATTAAGAATTCGTTTTTAAACCAATAAAAAAGGTTAATACAAGGGGGCCTTTTCTCTTTGTAACAGCAAATGAATCTCAAGGATATATAACTTGATCAAGAGGCTAAGAATCTGAGTCTACTATTGGGGCAACACTCATTTGTTTATAGAAGTAGCCTGCCTAGAGGACATGTTCCAAAGGGCTAGGATTAATCAGGTTCATCCTTAGCTATAACCGTGGAAAAAAAATAGAATCTAAATTTCTCATGTTTACATATCTCGGGTCGGGTACAGCTACCAAACTACATGTTTTCATTGACGAAATTGGAGATTAGTTCAAAGAATTGAGATAAACCAAGATCGATCACATCCCTTCAATCTGCTCTTTTTTAATGGTTTCATACCCATATCTCCAAAGAGAAGGTTAGATATTTTGTTCTTGTCTTGAGAAAGAAAATCAATGTGGACCAATCTAGGCCAGTCTTTGTCACCCTGCACGTGCGGTTGACATTAGTATTAAGATCTGAAAAATAATCGTGAACTGTTGGCGTCTTTCTGATAAAAGTTGGTGGCAGTACCAAACTTTTTTTTTTGATATGGTAATGTTATTCACAAGTTTTGGTAGTTTTTTTTTTAATAAATTTTGAATATCATTTACAATTTTTGAGAATTATTTATAATATTTGGATCGATTCTAAGTAATCCCACAAATTGTAACCGACCCACAAAAAAATTGTAAATTAAACCATAAAGTTGTAACATTATTCAAAAATTATACTTTTATCCATGTAATGGGCTACTTACCAGGAGCAAAAAAAGTATGATAAGTTCTCTACGTGGCTCAGATATTGGGGCTTTACAGAGATGGTCTAAGGTGATATTGGATAACTCAATTCAGTAACTAAAATTAAAAACATTGTATGTGTTTGATAACTAAAAGTCACATTACTTGAAAATTTAAGTACTTATAAAAAGAAGTACTTGGAGAAATATTTTTTTGTTATTTTTTACAACATTAGCTGATGCACGCGTGCGTTGCACGCTGATAGTTTTAAGTTATAATTTTGATTTTTAGTTTTCTCCAAATTGAACGATATCATCACCAATGAAATTTGACATTAAAGTCTTGCCCCACTTATCACAAATATATCAATAATTATGTCTAGTAATTTTTCTTATGTAAATTGCAAAGAAACAATCTTCTAATAAATAAATCTGAATACACAAAGCCCAAATAAGGAAAAATATACAAAGTCAAACTCAATAGTGCTTAAAAGAACAAGCTGCTCTTTCAGATTGAGTGATTCCTAAGATATATGTTAGAAAATTTCGTAAGAGAAACTATAATAATTTCTGATTCTGAATTCACATGTCAATTATAACTTGGTCAATTCATGTACAAAATTAAATAAATAGAACTACTCAATTTATAACATATTAGCAATATATTTGTTCCGTCCATGAAAATATATAGCTAGGAGGTTTTTTCTTTGTTTTTGCTTTTTTTTTTTAAGAACATAACTATTTCAAGCATTTAAATACACCTGAGAATTATCTTGCAATATCATAGAGAACTAATGATTTGTAAAACTTGTATTTTCATTTTAGTCACCTCATGGGATTAGAGATATGTCACATGGGATGCCTTAAAACATACACATACAATTAACAATATACAAGTGATGATTTCAATTTTTTAGCTGAAATCTGAAAACACAAAGTGCTCATACTCATGAAGAACATAAACTATGATGGTTAGCCAATTAAAATATATAATATGACACTGAGAGAAAGCTTGTGATAATTTGGAATAAAGGTGGTGTCATAACATACAAATTGCATTGGTACAAAATGATAAAGATGACAAAGTAAAAGGAATTAGAAATGTTTGGTTTGGTTAGTGGCCGCAAATGGAGAAGGAAAACCTTTGGCTTGGGCTCCATCATGGTGATTCGTTAGCTGAAACCAACAAATAATATATAGGTATGCTTTACGAAAATCAGTTCCATGTCTTGGAGGGAACTCCAAGTGTTCTATAAGAGTTATGTCTCTTTAATTGACAATAACTTGTAAGTGAGATTTATGGTCCAATAAAAAATCACAACAAAATGATATTAGTTGATTGTTAGCATGTTTTAAAACCCGGCCCGGCCTGATGGGTCAACCCGGAGAACTGGTGAACCGGTCTCCTAACCGGGCCAGTTCTAATAAAAAAATCGTTTATGTACAGAACCCGATATAAATTTGGTGAACCCGTGAGAACCGGACGAATTTACCAAACTCGATAGGTTAATGTCACTGTATAAATCTGAGATTTTTTTCCCTTTTTTCCACTTTTATCTCCTTTTGTTCTGTTGTCCTAAACTCAATCGATCCAGACTCTAGTCACAAAGCCTTGCCTTCACCACCAACCCAACGACTGACCACCCACGGCCACCACCTCGCCTCCAGTAGTCTAGAGCAGTAGCGAGCAACAACGATCAACAGTGATTGACGTCACTGACCATCGCCTTGCCTCCACGGTTCCACCAGAAGAGACCACAGTCCCAATTACAACCAGTGAGTTTCCCTCTCTCTCCCTCTCGCATCAATATAGCAACACAGGAACCAATTGAAAAAATTCAACCGCCAAGACAACTTAAAAAATTCAGGACCGTTCAAGGAGAAGAAATCCACCAACACAGGAACCCTTATAATGGAAACATGATTAGAAATGAAGTTAACCCGTGTTTAATTCGATAATAGTTAACCCACGATTGTTCGATTCCTCTCTCTCTCGATTTATGATTTTGTAAATTCTGTATTTTTTGTTCGGTGGATTTTCTTTTTTGGTTTATTTATCCCACGTTGTAATGCATTATGAGTAATTTGGGCTTGTATGAACTTATCACTTGGAATGGATGTTTATTCTCAGTTTTTGGTCTGTTTGGTTGCTGAGAAATGAAGGGAAAGGAAATAAATAAAATTTTAGATTGGTTTTGATTGTGGGTTTATTAGAAGAAAGAATGAATAATTGCACACAAAATGAGCTTAATTTAACTATTTTAAAGAGTTCTTTTGTGTTAGATATCCTGTCTAAGCTGGTGTTAAGTATCTTTGTTTGTTTGTATAGGTCTTGGTTTAGTTGAGTTTTCTTTATATGATTGGAATCGTCGTGTAGTACATTTTAGGTGTTCTCTAGCCTCTGTGCTTGCGGTTATCATTACTGGATATCATATTTTTCGAAGGTTCTTTTATTTCATTTACCTAATTGATATGATTAACTTTGTGCACAGTCGGTCCAAAGTCCATATAAAAGAGGAGGGTTGTGTTAGGTATCTGACAACTAACGTAAAAGTCGTCAGACCAAACATGAACATGAATCTAAAGTATATTCACATAGAACACAATTATACCAGTATCAAATCTAAAGTATCAAATATCCAAATATCCAAATATGATATAAATGATTCATATTACTATATTAGGACTATTGATCAAAAAAATAAATTTAAATCACACTAATCAAATTCATATTGGTGTCAAATCTGATCTATTTTTTTGTATCTTAGACTGATAGTTTATAATTTAAAGTTTTAAGTTAGTGTGTTGTGGGGTGTTGTGGGGTGTAATAATTACTTGTGGCTTTTTGGTTTTCGATGTCATATCAGAATGTCTTCATCCGAAACACCAATTAAATCTCAATCTATACCAATTAAATCTCTTAATATTGTTTGAGTATGAAGTATGAATTTTGAAGAGTTTAAATTACATGGATTATGCTTAGATTAATACATTGTCGAAGAGTTGGACTTAGACTTGGAGCCTTAAACTTCACTAGATGTATTTTTTTCTACTTAACTTTACAAGTTGTATTGAAAATTGAATACATTGAAATTGTATACATGTTTGATAATTTTTTTCTACTTAACTTTACATGTTTGATGTTATTTTTATAATTATTGTGATTTTTTAACCTATTTATTATTATTTATAATTATTTTTTAATTTTTTATTATATTACCGGTTCGACCAGTGACCCAACAGTTGATCCAGTGACCCATTGACCTGGTCCTTTCACTAGGTTGATGTCCGGGTCAGATTTTAAAGCTATGCCGCCACCACTATTATCATAATCACCCACAATTGTCTCCATTATGCCATCAACAACACCTCCACTCACTTCACCCCACCCACAACCATCACCACCGTCATCTCCACTCTAATTCACTCAAAAAATGGTATTTTTACTCAAACATATATTTTTTCACTCAAAGAATAGAATATTCATTCAAAAAGTGGTATCTTAATACAAAAAATGAAATTTTCACTTAAAAAATGGAATAGTCACTCAAAAAGTGGAATATTCACTCAAAAAGTGATATTTTCCCTCAAAAACTAGTATTTTAATTCAAAGACATGAATTTTCACTCAAAAAGTGATATTTTCATTCAAAAACTAGTATTTTTACCCAAAAAGTGAAATATTCACTTAAAAAACTAGTATTTTCACTGAAAAATGAAATTTTCACCCAAAAACTAGTATTTTTACTAGAAAAATAGATTTTTCACTCAAAAAGTAAAGTTGTCACCAAAAAGTGATATTTTTACTCAAAAAGCGTAATATTTAGTCAAAAACTAGTAT